TGTCTCTTCTTTTTCCTAACTGGTAAATAAATAGAGTTCTCTCTTGTAAAAAGCAAACTTGGTGGAAACTTGAAACTGCTAATCCAGTTTCAGAAAAGTGCACAAAAATACAGAGAGAACTAAATGAATCTGGTGACAGATTCCTTTGGAAATGTAAAATTAAAAGACTTTATTATTGTGTTGACACAATACCTAGCAATTCAGTATTCTGTTTCCATTCATCTTTTTTTAAGATTACTTCACCTGCCTATGACAAGTTACCAAAATGGAAATAATCCAAGTAATATTCCCCCATATTCAAATTTTGAAATTCAAAATTTGTGTCAAAGAAGGATGGAACTAAGTATTTGGATAGTTCTGATTATATTGTTTTATTTATTAAAACCTTTCCATTATTTTCCTTTATGGTATATGATAAAAATTTCTGTTGCCTTTTTTAAAAAAATCAAAAATCAAGCAGGAATGTTTCTCTGAATTTTCTCTGTATTTTTAAAACACTAAATGGTGCTTCAAAACTCTAAAATATAACACTGTGAATCAGTAAAAATATAATCTTTTATCTATGAATGTAAAATGTAAAAACAGAAGGTAAATTATAGTTCGATAAGAATGGGTTTTTTGGGGGGGGGACATTGAAGGCCTTTGGAGATTGCTTGGACTTTAAATTACAATCCCTGAGAATAGGAAATGTCTCAAGGGCATCTCATAGCCAGAATCTGCTTCCAGCAATTGAGGGGGGAGGGGAATCTTCATTATGATTATCCCCCATCTGGTTCTTTATTGAAGTGCATGTGTGTTCCTAATATTTCCAATACATTAAAAATCCAACTTCCTAGACTATTGCAAACAAGTATTTGGGAGTCCTTGAAAGTCTGGTACTTCCGTTGCCTTACCTACTGTACCTACAACTATGTTCTGCAACCCACCTTTTGTAGAGCTGAGCCATTTTCTACTTGCCTATAAGAGAAACAAACGTCTCTTGCAATGTCCTTCCCCTGTGTTGCCCAGATTCCTTGCTTTCATCTCATCATTAGCTGTACTCCTAAACTCCATTGTTGGTTAAATAGCGTTTTCCACCTTATGCTAAAGGTATGCTAAATTTGTTATCGTTTCATATCCATTAACTTGGAGAGAAGCAATTTGTTTGGCTGTCTCTGGGAATAGAAGCAGGATGGGGATTGGCATTGGGGACAGCAGATGCCATGCTAGAATTATTTTCTGCTGAAGGAAAGGATTGGTGGAAAGCACTTCAGCTCAACAAGGTTTTATGCAGAGGACAAAGTGAGTCCAGATTATTCCTTGAATTATTCCTAACCACCTTCTATAGCAACTGATACAAAACCAGGTCTTCCCATTTGAGGCATAAAGTGCTAACTGTTCTCTCTGTATCCAGAACTAGGCCTAAGTGGTTGTACCTAGTGCTGGTCAGTGCTATTGCTCCTATTTGTAGCCTCCAGTTCTGAGTTTTTAAAAATTGTTTTCTTCAGATAATTTTTTTCCAGAGCTCAGATAGAGTGTTTCTGATCTTAACTGTTAGAAGTCTGCTGGACAATTACCAGTTTACATGTTTGTGCATGCTGTTGCTTGTGTGCAATGTGATGTGCAAATAATCTATGTTTCGGTTATAAGGGGATTCTATGAGTCCTTGGGGATGGGACACGCAATGATTTAGCGGTTAAGAAGCTAGATTAAGTCAATTGGAAAGTTGGCACTTTGGGACCCAAATACCAAGTGATGGGGTGAGCTCCCATTCTCAGTTCCTGACAGACTAGCAGTTTGAAAACATGCAAATGCCATAGATAAATTGGTACCACTTCAGTGGGAAAACCAGACTTTCATGCTCCTTAGTGTATAGTCATGCCAACCACATGACCACGGAAGCATCTTCGGACAATGCTGACTCCCTCAACTAGGAAATGGAGGTGAGCATCACCTGCTAGATTTGGACATGATTATACAGGGGAAACCTTTACCTTTTTAATGTGTCCTAGGCAAATGCATTCCGAGAGACTTTGTTATACAGGCTGGAATTTACATATCTTATAATACTCCATGCACTGACAAACCATCGTCCTTCTATTGCATATCTGAAAATATAATACATGTTACCTTATAGAGAAAAAAAGGTCAAATTATAGATATGCTACTGAACATGCAACACATTGTATACATGCTATACAACATGTTTATTGATTTATCATTTTAGAGACTGCCCATCTTCTTTATGCAGCAACTTTGGGGACAGTGTACAAATAAATATGCAATATATGCCATACAACAGAATATATATATACTAAAGGTTATGCAGCATACTATATATAACAAACTAAAGGTTATGCATCATACTATTTATAACAAGCTAAAGGTTACATATCATACTATATATAACAAGCTAAAGGTTATGCATCATACTATGGAACGCCTCTTCCAATGTAGCAGGGCAAGCACTGCATTTAAACAGAGAGAAGACCCCGCTGTTTTCTAGCACTGAAGATGTTACCTAGTTGGGTAGAGAAACATCTGCAAACAAACAACCAAGCTCAGAGAGCACCAAGGACTCCTCAACTCAGCCTCTGGGCTACAGGTATTTTCTTCTATACACACTACAGGTAATCCTCGACTTACAACCATTCATTCAATGACCATTCAAAATTACAATGATAGTGAAAAAAGAGACTTGTGACCATTTTTCATATTTACCACCATTGCAGCATCCCCATGCTCACATGATCAAAATTCAGATGCTTGGCAATTAACATGTATTTATCACTGAATTTCCCATCAATGTTTATTATAAGAAATTATCAGAAGTCTTCAGAGGTTAGTCTCAAATTTCAGCATTTGCTGGAATTTCTTCTCTTCTTTCTCCTGTTACCTTGAACATTCCCCACATTTTGTTCCTACACTTAAATACTAAATACTTAAGTGGAAAATTGCTACAAATGGACACTCTGTGATTGAATGGGTGGTCTCCAAATTTTACACACTGAGGGGAGAAGAGAGAGAACAAAAAAGCTAACACAAACTAATAAAGAGCAAGAGAAACAAAGCAAAGAAAGTTCAGAAAGAGAAAATGAAAAGAAATAGAAAAAAGAAGCGTCTGATTTCTTCTGTAGCAAATATATTTACAATTTTAACTCTTACTTTATTGTGATAAAAAAGAACTCACTTTTTTCCTATTATCCAGCTTTTTTTTTAACCATGAAACCCACAGTTCATGAATGCATATTTTTCTGTATTTAATACAAAAAATCTAACATACTTTTCTTTTTTTTCCTTCTCATTTGGACTCAAAAATATGTGTGTAGTACTGCTTTAACAAGTACATATAATGAAATTTGTGTACTAGCACAGATACACATCTTGACTTCATGACACATTCCCATGGACCATTGTCCAAATAAGGTACTATAGGTGAATTCTCTTATAGGTGGTTAAACTGATCCAGAGTAATCCACAGATTTAAGATCTTAAGATTTAAGTTTTTTCCACTCCTTATTCTAAATAGACTTAAGATCCATTTCTAAAGAACTGAGTCTTGGCCTAATTCCTATCCTTTGTTTCTTCTTTTGCTACTTATCCCTCATTCCCCAAAGGAAACATTTGTAGCAATTGTACAGAGAATGTTCAATTTTTTCCTTAATTAGAAAATAAAATAAATGTTGAATAATAAATGTCGAATAAACCATTGTGTTATAAGGAGTATATAGCAAGAGGGTGTTTAATAGCTAGAAAGAACATTGTTTCAACAGGTTGGGTAACTCTCAACTTCTACAGATCCTTGAAAATTACGGGCCTCCCATTTATATGGAATCTGGCATGAATACCTAATCTCTTCCTTTCTTAAAAGAATCATTTTAGCAGCCTTTGAAAAAAAACTTGTTTAAAAAAATTAAAAACACACAATTTGTTTAAAGATAGTGTACACTTAAACTATCTCTGCATTTTAACTCATAGAAATCGTATTTTAAATTTGAATTTATTTGTTTATTTTTATACTGAAAGAAAATAATGCTCAGCAAGTGGAGTTTTTTTGAAGAAATGTAACTGAGAGCTGTTTTTACAGTGTCTTTAAATATACTTTAATTCCCAAATATTTAGCATTTAGCCCACCCCTGGAGTATTATGTTTTCCTGGACAAAAGCTTTGTATGGATAGATCGATGAGAGAGAGAGAGAGAGAGAGAGAGAGAGGGAGGGAGGGAGGGAGGGAAGGGGGGAGAGGAAGAGAGGAAGAGGTGAATTTGTGGACCCCAAATATTAATTAAACTTTGGAGGTGAATCTAATTTTTCTTGAAAAAAATGTCATAAGTGAGGTAGGGCTCTGAATGAATTTCATCCCAGAGGATCACAGTAGTGGGAACAACCTGCCAGGAACTTGAGACTTTAGAAGCACCTTAGGACAGCAGAAGTCCAGTCGCTCATTCTGCAGTGTTGAAAAAGTTCCCAAAGAGCATCATGTGGAGGAAAACATCCACTCTCTCTCAAAAGAGCCCATTCTCTACTCTCATCCTCCCCACCCACACTTATGTTGATTTGGACCTATGTTCTCCCACCATCTGGCTCAGTTATTTTGGGGGAAAATTAAAGTGAACCTAATAAGAACAAAGGCTTCTAACCCCACTCTAGATCTCTATTTCCATTTTATTCTCCTTTTTCTGGGAAGCAGTCCTTTCTAGACCCTTTTCCTGGGATTGCGGGGGCATCTGATTCTTGAGTTTACGGGCTCTGGAATGGGAGGAAAGAACATTTTCAGGCGCTGGTGAAGTAGACCAAATATGGCGCTAAGGAAAACTCAGGGCCGCTGCCTTCCCTTCCCCTGGTTTCCGACGAGAAGTCCCCAAAGAGAGCGTCCTTCTCCTCCCTCCCCCTCCCCTCCCCTCCGCCCTCTCCCTCCCCATCTCTTCCTGCATCGTGAAAAAAGAGCCCTGTTCGACGTAGGAAAGGTCAAGTCCTACGGCGCGCGATCCATGGTCATTACTGTAGACTGACCCCTGGTGATTTGAGGAAGCAATGCCTGAGGGTCCCGCCAGGGAAAGAGCAGCGGATGCTTTCGAGACCGAAACCGAGACCGAGACCGAGACCGGGAAGAAAGGGGAGGGGAACAGAAATAGGAGATTCGTGGGATTACATAACCCTTGAATCTGATTTCCCGGACTCCGTTCTGCTTAATCATCTCCGCCGCCGGCTGTTTAAGCAGCAGGAGTGGGAAAGGAGCCGCCAACAAGGCGAACAGTTGGAGAACGTTTGGCCTCAAGTTCGCGGCAAGCAGAAAAGTGAACCGGAGAGCCGCGGGCTTCCTGAGCGAAGGCAGAACCGGTTCCGGCACGTCCCGTCCTGCAGAACCGACTTCGGTTCTTGAAATGGGGCGGGCGGCTCACTCTCCTCGACCGGACAGGCTCCCTGCAGGCCAAATTCCCCACGGATGTTTTGCGCCGCGACACCGGATCCTGGCGACTGGGGTAAGAAAACACACGTGAATCTCCAGCCATTGAGTGTGAATAATTGTTGTATGGCTAAAACGATTCAGATGCGTTGTGTCCCTTGCGGCAAAACAACAGATCCCAGGCCGCGGGAGTGCCGTTTAAACTGTCTTTAATATAGTTTTCTGCGTCTCGGTCTTATCCTACTGTGCGGTGTAATTTTCTCACAGCCTTGTCACCTCCTCCTGTAAGACACAAACAGGTTGGTAATGCATCTCGAAAATATGTTAGGGCGGTTTGAGGCAGGCCCTGCAGATGATGATGATGAAGAAGAAGAGGAAGCATTCCCCTCCAACAAAAATCCTCTCCAAACTCCCTACTTTCACCCTGCAGGGAAAAAAACCTCCCACCCACCCATTTTCCACCGAATTGTCTTATAAGAATAGATTGGGAAAAGCCACGTTAATTTTCTGGCTTATAAACAAAAAATGCATTTAGGAGATGGAAGGAGGAGTGTCATAGCAGGCAGAAATTAATGATGCTTGCAATATTTTCCACTTGGCCTTGGAACAGCACTTACTTCATCCCCTTATAGGCCAACCTCTTTTCTGTGGACTCTGCGAAAGGAAGTTTTTGCAAAGAAGCTTTTTCATTTCCTGCAGCTGCTCATATCATTTATCTTGAAGCAGCATTCAGGGTTTGTTTTTTGTTTTAAACTTGTCACACTTCCACCCTAATCATTTTTCCTTTTAATCATTATCCTTTATTTCCTTTGGAATTCGTGGGATATCCCACAGAGCCTACTTGCAGTTTTAAAGTGTTTCTATTAGCAGTCAGACGTTACAGATACAAGTTGCTTTGCTGTGCAGCAAAGGATTAAATGGCTTTGGTTTGGCTAAATCTAATTTACATGAACGAAACAAGTATTTCTAAATCAAGACAAGCAGGAGGAAGAGAATGGGCTGTAACAGAGTAAGAAATCAATGCAATCTGTCCATTTGGTTTTATCCTTCTGGTCATTTCTCAGGCACTTCCGATATCAATGATGAATTAGACTCTAATGCATCATTAGAGGATGCTCACCCTCTAAAAGGCCAAAAATGGGGATTGGGTATGTGGTCTTCCAGTGTAGCATCAGATCCACCTAGGGCTTCTTTTTAAATAAAACCAATGTATTCCAGACTAAATTATAATCCGGATATGTCCGAATGCTCCCCCTAAATGAAGCTATATGGCATTCCAGTTCAACTCTAAGACTATCCATATAGCAGCAGCACTCCAGTAATTATTTGTAGTGGAAGTTACCCCAGGCTGACATGAGAGCAGAACCGCATGAAGGAGGTTTTGTCTTTTTCCCACTCAGCCAAATGGCTCCATTGCAGGGATCACGTCTTGCTTTGCTTCTCTGTTTCTGATGTGGGCAATGCGACTGCGAAATGCAACTCTGATATAATTTGTCATCATACCAACCATAAAGCTATTATTTCTTGCCACCCAAACTTATTTATATCCCTCAATTCTGCAAATAATAATGATGATACCAATCATTGATGCAAATACCACAGAAGGTAATAATGATATGTCATTTTCACTTCCGCCCGGAATTAGTTATTGGGCTTGAGGAAGAAAGGAAGTTTATATTGAAAGTAAAATATTTGCAGACCGTATCAACTATCCTAGACGGCTTTAGGAAGATAGAAAAAAATGTACTTTTCTTCTCTTCTTAACTCAATTAATATAAATACATAGCAAGCAGCAGACCCGTCTTTGTCTAATTAGTAAGCTTATTATCCAACATCAAATTCAGTTTTAACATTATTACATTAAATTATTACAGTGAATTTCAGGGAAACCAGAGAATGTTCATAAGATTGAGTGACCCAATAGGAATACACTTGTTTTAAACTTTTTTGATACAAGGTTGTGGTTTGTGGTTTAGTCTAGTTGGGAAAAGTACCTTTGAAGCATATATTTTGGGTATCTAGATGTTTTGTGGCCTATAGACTACTGGACTACTGAGAAACTGGATGCAAGATATGTGTGATTTATTTGGTTCATATTGGGATATGTAAAATTATGTTTAGAATAATTTGTAGAACTGAAGAAAGCAAACTCTTGTATGATTCCTTGCACTATAGAAAAATAAAATATAATAAAATACAATGGAAAATATTATTGCAGAAGTGGCAACTTCTGCAACTGTTTAAGCAAGTATCTGTATTTTTTCATATGGATTTTATAGGAGTTGATTCTAAATAAAAATTGAAAAATCACTTGTAGCTGCAATAAGTAGAATGAATTATCCTGGTTTGCTTTGGATATTAAATAAGAATAAATGAAATGAAATGAAAAAAAGGAGAAAAAGAAAGAAAAGGCATTCGTTCTGTATTTTGTTTTTAAGAAGATATGATCATTGCAGGAAAGAGTTTTATTTTTATGAATTTCCTTGATTAACAAACTCGAGGTCAAGTTCAAGGCATCACCTGTGTCAATACATCTAAATACGTCAGACTTGGAATGTTGTCCATTGATTGTTTTGGTTGTTCAGAAACTTGGAACAGCTTTTTTCTCTCCTCAACCGGACAGAAAAGTTATAGCCTTTAATTTTGAGGTGGTGGTGGGGAAATCCCATTTGATGCAGAATCCATTCCTGAATTTTTATTTAGAAATGTCTCAGTAAAATGGTTCTTTAAAATTAACTTGTAGGCCACTCTGGATTGTATTGTTTGAATGCAGCACATTCCCAAGGCAGAAATTCAGATATCATGATCTTTGGAAAAAGGAAAAAGTGTGAAGAAATGAACCTGGTTTGATATGCAGTATTGTATCCGGGGAAGATTGGAAGTTCTGTTGTATGCATGAACACTTACATTCAGTTGGTGCTGGTTAACTTTCACTCCAATGTGGAAAAGATTCTATAGAACAATGAAGTGCCAAAAGACTTTTCTTCATCAAAGAAAGTCCTAGTACTGGATTGGGTCCTGAGGGAGAGAGAGAGATCAGGAAGGGTTTCTATTGAGCAACCTCAAGTGAAAATTATCCTCCACCTTGAATTTTACCGAGGAAACATGGGAAAAGGGAAAGAAAGAACTGACATGGAATTTTGTATTAAAGACTTAATAGTTCACTTTATTTCTAGTACTTAAAATTAACTTCATGTTTAGAATATTTAATTTTGAATTTAAGTAAGTAAAGAATGTACTTGCATAAGTTTGTCAAACTTGAGGGGTGAAGTAAAAAAATGAAGTAGTCAAAACAAAGATTACTGTTTTCAGAGCCTGGTTTGCCTGCAACTAAATGCCTCCTGCATCAATAGCTGGAAATTGGCATTTGAGTATCTGGTCCATGTTTTCATTAGGACTGTGGCAGGAGAGGAAAAAAATGGGAACTGTCTTTCATATTTGTAGGGATAAACCTCCCAAATTCGAGTGGTTTTGTAAATAAAACTTAATATGGAGAATCAACTATGCAATCTATGATATTAGTGTGCTGTGCTAATTCGAAATAAACGAGTATTGAACTCAATAGGACTTACTCCTGATTAGACATATGTGGCTTCACGTTTTCTAACTGGTATAGAAGCAATGATCAGCAACAAGAGGGAACAAATAAAATAGATTTCCAAGTAAGTTAGACATACATACATACATACATACATACATACATACATACATATATATATATATATATATATATATATAAATAAACAAACATAATGGCAATAATAGACTCTCCAGAGGAAACTACTGGCTATTAAGAATATTTAAATATTTTTCAATTATATTAATTTTAGCAGCATTTATTCTTATTCATTAGGATTAAGCATCTTATTCCAAAAAAAAATAAATAAAAAAAAATCGATTAACACTTGTTGCAGAAGACAACAAAACATGAAACCACATTAAACATTTTTTCTGATGCAGAATCATTTCACTCTCCTTACTTATAACACATTTGAAGAGTCAAACCATCTAATATCCCATTAGATCCTTATTTAGGAAAATATTTTAGAAGTTTATATCTCATTTTAAAACAGTTAAATTGTAAACAATAATACTATGAAAAGATCTAAGGAAAATCCTGAGAGAAAACGACAAAATGGAAATACTACATTTTAAAAATATTTGATGATTTAAGCTATATTGCAATGATGAGATCTGGTTTCATATGAGAGTGGTTATCAGCAACACGAACTTTTAAAGAAACATGAAGCAGTTTTAATACCCAAATGATTATGACATTTTTCCCTTTCTTTTAAACCCATTGTTTAAAAGTTGCACTTTTAGAAATTCAGAGACTAATAAATTACAAATCCCATAGCCATTAAGAGAGCTGTGTGAAATGTACACATGTATTCAAATCTCTAAATTAACAAAAGCTAAAAATCATGAGATGGGAACAATGGCAAATAGAAGACCTGTTGCAACAAACTCATTTTCATAGACATGATGCAAACATAGCTGTCTTCAAAAAGAAAGGAATGCTCTGACATGTTTAGACACCTGACATAATCCTAATTTTTAAAGCCACTTCTAATTAAGAAAATAGCTAGACATTTAAAAAATAATTTATATTGGAGATTACAGAGAGCAAAGGAAATATTTTAATTAGGTTCCTGTTGTATTCTTTCAAAGTCAAATAGAAATTCTACATTTCTCCAGCAATACTTAATTTGGGTGTGGATAATCAACGCTCTTGATTTCCTAAACTCCCCACTGTCATTCACTGTATCTTTATTCAAAACCCGACAGCGTTTTTCTCAGACACCGCACCCTCTCCTCAGACACAGAACCCGGTTAATTTTCTTTCTAAACGGGATTGGCTCTCTGTATTGACCTGGTTTCCAGCGGAGTAAATTAGAACGCTGCTCTCTACTCCTTCCTTGCTCTTCTCATCCATCCGCTTCCAAGTATATGAAAACTCAGGAACATTTCCGAAGGAGAGGCCTCATAAACTTGCGTATAGTGGAGAAGGGCCAGGACTAAGAGAGAGGGAATTTTTGGCAGCAGGTTGGGGATGCTGGCGAACTATTGGGAAGAGTCTGGGCATTCCCTCGCTACTTTTCACCTGGCAACGAAGGAAGCGAAGAAGTCTGCTGAATGGCACTCCTCTCAAGGAAACCTGCCATCCGTATGGGAGTTCAGCGGGAGGCTCTTTATGCCTTGCGTTTGAATGCACCTTCCCCAAATCTCCAAGCTTCCCACTAGTTGCGTAAACCCAGAAGAAATAAACTGAAGCAGAGATTGGAGCTGCGGGTCACCGCAACCACTTTCTCCACTCCATCTCTCTCAATCCCCCCTCCCCTCCGTCTCTGTGCCTTATCGCCTCCCCGAGACGGAGTCTTCGTTCCTCTCTTGTCTGAAAGGAATACACAGACGGTCCTTGGCTGCCCAAAGGTGCCCTTGCCATTACTGTATAGAGCTCGCCTTCCAGGTCTGTTGCCCCCTTTACCCTAAAGGACAATCTTTCTTGAAAGCTTCGGGGAAGGCGGTGCTTTCGGTCAGCTTTCAGTCGCGTCTGCTGGAGACAAGCTGAAGTTGACTGCCAAAAGTGCTATAAAAGCCCAAGTCAGTTGAGAGCTGTTTTTCGCCCCTTCCTAGACGCGCCGGGTTCTAAGAGCGCCTGAAATGCTCGTCTCCTGCAAGGGCAAGGAAGCTGTTTGCTATAGAGCAACAGAGGCGGGGCGACTCTGTGCAACTGTGGCGCCTTTGTTATCGCTGGATTTGCGGGGTGGGGGGGGGAGAGAGGCCTTCAGAAAAGGAGAGGAAATGCAGTTTTTATATCAAGAATGGGAAAGGTTGGAGCATGAACTCAGAGGCAGGTATTTTGCTTGAGAAGGAAAAAAAATACGGAAAAGCAACAAGGCTGCTGTTGAAGTCAAGTTGGCAAGCATCCCTGTTGCATATTTTTGTAAAAATTTCTCTTAAAAAAAAACCTTCAACACACACACATACACAAAGAAAGAAAGGAGAAATAAAACCATTTTATAGTCCCACATAGACCCCGAGCAAGCTGTAACCGGTCCTTTGATGACACCCTTATCTCCTATTTTCATCGACTCTTTTGGCAAATGTGACAAAGACGGAGATTAATTAATAATTTCAAGTTCAGTTTACAAACGTTGAAGGCCCATAAAAGTTATTCCAGCGATCCAAAATAAAGAGTTCATTAAAGGGATATGTCCAAAGCTGTTGATTTGCGATGGGTTACCCTTGTAAAAAAAGAAAAGAAAAGGGAGAGCAGAAGAAAAGAGGGGGAGCATTAAAAGGTATATAAACATTAATGCTAATAAATTAGTGTATTCCACCACAAGTACTTACTAGATAATATTGATGTTTACAACTCGGCATACTTAAATCAAAGGCAAAGAAAATACACAATCAAGGTATTTTTCTGCCAGAACCCAATATTATTGAGTCAGTTAGAATTAATTCTGTAATAAATAAACAAATGGGTCCCGACAATTAAATCCTAAACACCCAGAATGCAGAGTAAGGCTATTCAAGGTTTATTTTCCAAGGAGGGAAGAATAGAATTGAGAATCATTATTTCCACTCCCAATAATTCCACTTTTTCTTTCCCCTAATTTTCAGACAATGGATTTCGATGCCACTAGGAAATGTGCCCTATTTTCTTTGATAATTTTAGAATCAGTTGCCCGAAGAGCAGCGGGTAGATCAAATTTCTACCCTAGACATACTCCTGACAGATACAGAGAAACACACACAAACCCACAGATACACACGGACATGACTTTCTAATTAGTTATGGGGGTGGGGAGTTTATTTTCTTTTCCATCAGAATAAGTTAGCCTGCAGAAGTATGGTGCTTGCTTCCTGCCAGAAGAGTGTTGTATAGCAATATTTCTGTCTCTCTTTGTCTCTTTTGGCTCTGAATAAATATAAGGATGTTCTTTTTACTGTTAATTTTGAGCTTCGGACACCACTTTGGGCACCACTTCTGAAGGCCTTTCTTCTGGCTAGTGAAGGGTGTTGGGGAGGACGCAAATCTGCTAACTCTCTGAAATGCCACTTTCACTCAATCAGTTGGCAAAACCTAGTTCTTATTTCAAAGTTGCAGCTTCCAGAATCGGATAGAAGGGGTCGTTCAACCTGGCAGCTATTTCTCTGATATTAGATCCTTTTTCTGACCACTTGCTGTCTCAAAGACCTCTTACTATAGGAAATCAGGACGAAAATTCAGAATATGGAAGATGAATGACAGAGAAGAAAGGAATAAAACTCTGGTTAAAGACACTTAATGTACAAATTCAGCGTTCAAAGCAAAGGCCGGTGAAAATTCCCGAGTTAGCTGAGGTGACTAGGTATCCAGGAGAAGGAAGACACTAATGTGCAGACTTGACCCTGGCGCACGCTGGTCGGCAGAGGCTTTCAGAAAAGCCTGGAGATCTGGCGGATTATCTAATCGAGGGACCTTTCAGGAAGACCCCAAGAGGTTGCGGAGCGGCGCAGCCCGTAAGACAGACCTGCCTATGCTGAGGAGAGTGTGTGGGTGAGAGTGTGTATGTCTGTGACAAGACATTTCTTCAGACCCAGGAGGAAAAAGAGGAAGGGGCGAGAAGCAGGATTCTGCAGGTTCCAAACCTCCTGTTTCCTAGACCAGAATGGGGTCTAGCTAGTTTAAACAGAGAGAAGGGGAGAGTATCTAATGAAAGGAAAAAAAAAACGGTACGCAGGTCTTCCCTTCCTTTTTTCCTTCTTTTGGAAGTTCTCGTTCAAAAGTCAGATAGGAATAAACTGCATTTAAATCTTTGCGTTTCGGTGTTTTGTTCTATTTTTAACGCCTGGAGACCCGAGGGGACGATCTGTTGCTTCTCTCGAGATGGCTCCCAAGGAGGGGAAGGAGAAAGGAGGGGGAGGGGTGGGGGAGAGGGAGAGGAAGAGGGCCCGTACTCATAGCTTGTCAATTTTAACATTTGGTCACGTGAGCAGCGCCTCCCTGCTAAGGAAGGGGAAAGCTTTCCACGTCAGCTTTACGTCTCCCAATTTCTTACTTCACGGCTCAGCTTCCAAGAGACAGCTGCATTAGAGCGTCATGTTAAGCTCAGCTAATGCGGAGAACCCGAGGTAGCCAGCCACGTTATGGATTTGGACGAGCGAGTACCCTGCTCCTCGAATATGTATTTGCCCAGTTGTACTTACTACGTTTCCGGCCCAGATTTTTCCGGCCTCCCTTCCTTTCTGCCCCAGAGCCCGTCTTCTCGCCCAGTGCCCTACTCCTATCCATCCAACCTGTCCCAGGTGCCACCCGTGCGAGAAGTGACCTTCCGAGACTATGCCCTGGAGCCGGCCAGTAAGTGGCACCCACGCAACAGCCTCCCTCACTGCTACTCCGCCGACGAGCTCAGGCACCGGGACTGCCTCCCACCCGCCGCCGCCGTGGCCGCTGCCGCAGCCGCCGCCGCCGCCAGCCGGGGGGAAATGTTCGGGAAGACCGCGGCCGGCGGCGCCTACCACCACCCGGCCACCTCTGCAGTCTCCGCCGCGGCTGCGGCCTCGTCCAGTTTCTATAGCACGGTGGGCAGGAACGGGGTGCTGCCACAGGCTTTCGACCAGTTTTTCGAGACCGCGTACGGCCCGGCGGAAAACCACTCGGACTACGTGGGCGACAAGGGCACCGCCGGGGAGAAGATGCCGCCCGCAGGAGCTCCCGCCGCCTTGGGAGTTGCTGCAGCTGCGGTGTCGAGTTCGGAGGCGGCCTGCGACCGGGAGGCGGCGGGGGAGAAGGAGAAGCGGAGAAGGGCCGAGAGCAGCAGCAGCCCCGCTTCGTCTTCCGGCAACAACGAAGAGAAATCCACCAGCTCCAGTACGTATAAAGGCAGCGCCCTAGCGCTTTTTATGAACGGGACTTGGAAATCTTAGCGCACCGCCGCTATTAAATTTTTATATGCTGTTTTATAAGCAGAGAAGGTTTATGAAGGGCCGTTAGATTTCCCCCAACAAAACTTTGTTGTAAAAGGCGAGATCACGTGGCGAGGACTGAAATTGGCCATGAAATGCTCATCCGCCAATGGATGTCTTTAAAAAAAACAACACCACCCAACCTCAAACTATTCCCCCCCCACTCAGGTGGTGATTTTCCCTAAATCATTAAACAAAGCACTAAATAGAGAGAGGAGGGAGAGCTCCTTGTTCAAAACCCCCAAAATATAATGCATGTTTTTCGCCTGTAAAATTTGTTCAAAAGGAGATTTCAGAGCCCTTTGATAGCCATGTAATCCTGCGATTAATACACACAAACACTTACACACATACTATAAAAGTCATGTGTGTTATCCTTAAAAGCTTAGTGAGATACTTGGATTCAAAGCCATCTCAGTTTTTATGGATTGCGGGAGAACAGGGTGTAATAGATGAAGGGAGGGCCTGCAACAGCAGCTATATATTAAGAACAACAGCTTTAGTTAAAACTATCTCTTTTGTCTAAAATAATCAGTTTCTCCTAAATTCTGTTTGAGTTAAATGTTGCCTTGTGTCCAACAATTGGTTTCTCACAACTGTTCTTCAAGCTGTCACAGCTTGATTTTTTTTTAATGTGCGTTTTTCTCTCTTTGAAGACTTCCTTCAAGCACTGAGGGTGGAAAAGACTTTCCTAACTCGGAGCAGTGAAAGGAAACTTGACAAGTCCTTATTTAAGTGAGAAAGGCCCGAATATTTATATTTAATCCCTTCAAAGTTAAGGTGACAAAAGAAAATACAAAGCTCTATTTTAAGGAAAACTGGAGTGGTTTAAGAGATTTGTATCCAGTGCAGCTGAGAATGGAAGAGAATTTTTGACAGGACAGGGGTTTTGAAAGTATTTAAATAGGAAGTTCCCCTGGTAAGAATCAGTGAGCTAGGAGGTTATCTGAGACAGTGAAAAGGTCATTATTAAAGAAAAAGGACAATGAAAACACAGAAAATGTTTCAGATTTAAATCCTGATGACATAATGTATTGACAAGTGAAGTAAATGCAGAGATAAAAATTAAGATTTTAATCAGAAGATCCAGAAGTTAATGAATTCTGGAAGTCATGAATTAATGAAGCCTCATGAATTTCAGTAGAATAACTAAAGTTAGAGCCAGCCCAGGAAGCTGCTGCTATTATTATTATTATTATTATTATTATTATTATTATTATTATTATTATTATTATTATTATTATTATTATTATTCTACAATTGTAGAAATGTGGTAAAAGTATTACATTGTGGTAACAAGCAGCAGTTGAGTCCTTCATACGTAAAACCTGCCTTGGTAGAAAATACTGTTCAGGACCAGTTGGGCAGCGCATGCAGAGACATTGCCCATTCTCAAGACCACAAAAGCTCCAGTCTTTAGCAAACATGTTCAGAGCAGAGATTGTAGTACTATTGTTTGAAGCAGGGCTTCAAAGAAAGGTCTTTTTGGATTAAGGCAGCACCTGCAAGCTATTTCCCCGAGATAAGGTGAAATTAATATACACAGCTGCTGAGTAGGAGAGATCATCACTATTATGAAACTTAGTAATAATGAGTCAAGAGTTTCTTAGAAGAGAAACATATGGATGTTCTTGATTCAATATTAGCAACAGTCCTCCCTCTAGCCACATCTGATTCCAGACTTAATGGCTTCTGCCTTTATGTTTTGTTCCACAGGTGGACAACGCATCCGTAAAAAGAGATGTCCATACACCAAATACCAGATTAGAGAATTAGAAAGGGAATTCTTCTTCAGTGTCTATATAAACAAAGAGAAACGTCTTCAGCTCTCACGAATGCTCAACTTGACCGACCGTCAAGTAAAAATATGGTTCCAAAACAGAAGAATGAAAGAGAAAAAAATTAATAGGGACCGACTGCAGTATTATTCAGCTAATCCAATACTTTAAGCCTAAAATTTGTAGTGTTTTTCTATACGAGATTAAATTCAGATGTCACTCTTGATAAGGTCAAGCCACAGGGTTACCAGTAAGGAGGAGGTGTGCAGAGACTCTGAGGACTCTGAAAAACTAAGATGTTCTGCCCTACCACCAACATTGACCAATTAGTTGTTTTTTTTGTGGCTGAGTTTTCTTTTCAGCTGGTTTTCTTCATCTTTACACATCAAGTGGAATCCATTTAACTCTTGGACCACCCTTTGCAAAAGCCATTGTATCCCTACAACTTCTTCCAATTGGGGTGAGCACATGTGAAAAGCCGGGAGCGAATTCCTGGCTTCACGGTGTGGTTGTGGATTGAAAACTATGTTACCTTAATTGGAAAGTCCATGGGAAAACTATGTTACCTCCCATGGAAGGTCCATGGAAAGACTCCTCAGGGCATCATACATGCTGGAGGACAACTTCAAAAGAAAATGTCCCAAGCACCTACCATCTCTACTTAGGCAATCCCTGACCAACCTATTTGTCTCCCTGAATGACAAATTATTTTTTCTCCCCACAATTACACTCCTACCCTCAGACAGAGACAACTTCCTTACAAAATGACTTCAGGTAATAATTTGCCATATATGGTAAGAAAACAATCACTGAGAAGACAACACGGGTAGGCTTGTGAAATATAATTTTAATGAATAACAATATCAGAGACAAATCATTATGCCCTTATTTAAATATTAAAAGTGATTAAAAACTTTCTTAAACCTGTGTGGGAGGAGAAAAGACAAAAGACTAAAATAATAGTTCTAAAATGAGAAGGTAAAAGTTTAAAATGAAACAGAGAGAATTTTTTTACTTCTATTTCAGAAACTTTCTTCAAGAAATATATCTGGAAAAATACAGTTTGGCAAATATCATCTTTAATTGTAATTTAGATATGTGTAATGCACTGAAATCAAAGAATGAAAACCACTAGTGTTGATTAAGAAAGCCCATCAGAAGGCAAACAATGTAAATAGAGGGAATTTGTTGTCATATCTTATAGTTAGCTTTATATGTCCTACTTTGCTGTTAAGCAGCAAAATAAAAAAAAATTAAGAGAGTGTGTGGATGTGTATATATGCGCACACCTACACGTACACACACACCTACACATAAATGTGTATGTATGTGTGTACGTGATATATATATATATATATATATGTATATATATATGTTTCTCTGAAAGAACCAAAGAGGGTGTGAAGGGGAAAGAGGCATGGTTTTAACAGAAAGAAAGCTACTTAAAGTTCTATATCAGTTTACAAAGGATATATGTTTTATTGTAAAGGTCACTTACTGTTGAGCATATCTGAATGTATGATTCATACCATAATGGTGTTTTATAAGACTTGTATGATTTAAAATGGTTTTGTTGCCATTTCCCTAATATTTTAAGTGGGTTGTTTCACTTGGAAGGTGTCAGATGTTTCTTTTCTTGTTTAACCTGTACACTATCAAGGCTGTTTTTACACTGCTTCCAGAATGGATAAAATTTCTTTTGTGGTTAATGAATTGCAATACTTTTAGATTCTATCACTGTTTTTTTGGGGGGGTGAACCTGTATTTTGTATATATATACAGTTTTCTTTGAATATGGGGAAGCTTTTTCTTGCATGAATACAGTGGAATCCTGCACATTGGAAATAAACATGTGAGAAATTTACAGGTTTTTTTTAAGATTTATGATGCACTCGTGGATCTTCTTTGACCCAGACTGGAAATCTGAAACATGAGTTTTGAGTTAATTGCTTTGGTGGAAATCCCACTCACCTATTGGTTGCACTGAGTTCTGAGAAGCCAGGAGATCAAGTCTGGTATTTATGAATGCGTGGGCAGACTGCTGCTGGTACCAGGCCAGGTTTGAATGGATTGCAGAGAAGGGGGCGGAGGTAGGGGGAATCAGCCTTGAAATGCAGGCTATAGACTTGGTGCTTTTGTTCATAGATGTAAAACACATTGCAAGAGCTCAATTTGTGTGTGTGTGTGTGTGTGTGTGTGTGTGTGTGTGTGTGTCTAGTCCTTTGTTCTTGTTTGTTCCAGGCACCATACACCTGAGTCCAGAATTGAAAGTTGAAGGGGGCCTCAGACAGAATTCAGGGTACTGATGGAGATGGCTTACATGCCAATACTGTATGAGATGTGTGGAA